TCCATTGATCTATGTGTCTGTCATTGTACCAGTACCATGCCGTCTTGACTACCACGGCAGTGTAGTAGGATTTTAAGTCAGGGAATGAGATGCCTTCTAATGTTTTTCTATTTTTAAGAAGTACTTTGCTTATTCGTGGCTTCTTTCCATTCCAAATGAAGCTGGAGATTGCCTTTTCCATCTCATTGAAGAATGAAATTGGTATTTGTATTGGGATTGCATTGAATGTGTATATTGCCTTTGGTAGTATTGCCATTTTCACAACATTGAGTCTTCTTATCCATGAGCAAGGGATATTCTTCCACTTCTCCAGGTCTCTTTTTGTTTCTTGTAATAATGTTTTGTAGTTTTCTTTGAATAGATCTTTTGTGCTTCTAGTTATATTGACTTTTAAATGTTTAATCTTATGATTAGCTATTTGTGAAGGGTATTGCTTTTCTTAGCTCCAGCTCTGTATTCTCATTGTCACTGTAGAGAAATCCAACTGATTTTTGTATGTTGATCTTGTATCCTGCTACTTTACTGAATTGGTCAACTATGTCTAATAGTTTTCTTGCTGAGTCTTTAGGGTTTTCTAAGTATACTATCATGTTATCTGCATAGAGGGATAATTTTACTTCCTCTTTGCCAATTTGTATAAAAGGTCTTTTTTTAAAAAAAGCTTTTCAAAGTTGTTACTTTGACATTTTGGCTGGGTCATTCTTTGCTGTCCACACTGTCCTGTGCATTTTTCTTTCTATTGAGAACCACTGATATGACTAGAAAACACAATATAATAAATAGAACATGATAAACAGATTAAGATGTCACAGTAACATGTCATTATTTCTTAACATTTTTATACTGACTTAATTATATAGATGATATAAGCTAATTAACAAATAATGAGTAAGTATGCATAGAGATTATTTATGTAGCTTAAGTAGAAACATTCTGAACATTCTAAATTTAGACTCAAGCTTAATAAACCTCCTAACTGATATTACGTTAGCATTTGCTTTAAAAAGCAACATTAGTGTGCATTATATTACTGACTATTATAAAATAAGACATTTTTTTTCCAAATCAAGAATCAGTTGCTAAAAAAGCATTCTGATATTTTCTACTTCAATGTTAAAAATAAGGATAGAATAAGGAAAAATAGTCCAACAGTAGAAATCCAAAGCAATTGTTGTAGCATTGTTCTTCTTTTCCTCCTCTTTTTCATCTTTTTTCCTTTCTCTTGTAAATTCTTTAGGTCAGATATTATATTTAAAGTCTTTTGTGCCCACCTACCACAATAATCATAGCACTGAACAACAGTGGTGTTGAAAATACTATAGAAATTAACATTACTCTTGAACCAAAATATTGTTATTTTTAAAATATCCTCCAGTTCACTGCAGCTTTTTCATTAATATATTCAGCACAACACACTAAAATTACTATGCATAGGAAATGCTCAATCTGTAGTTTCTATCTTTTGGTTGAGAAACAGATGAGCAGGTAACCCATGTGGGAGACAAAGAGCCCTATTAGCTATGGTCCGGTCCAGTCTGTCTGTTGAACACCATGGGAATGCTGACTGGGATATTTCTCCTTCCATCTCCTTTTGATGCTTCCTGGATCATTCAAGACCATGCCCATATTATCTCTCTGTATTGTAACTCAAGGCTTGAATTTGTTTTTCAGTTCTTTCAACTTGAGAAATGCTGAGCGAGTTCTTCCCTTTTTATTCTCTAGCTCCTGTTCTTTGTACATTCCATTATACTTTTCTTTGTCTTCTTGAGCTGCCCTTTGAAATCTTCTGTTCATCTCTTTTACTTCTGCATTTCTGCCCTTTGTTTTGGCTTCTTGATGCACTAGTGCAATTTTCAGAGTCTTTCCTGTTATCCATTTTGGTCCTTTCTTCCTCATTTGTCTTTGTAATGACATTTTTCTCTCTTCATGAATATCTTTGATATCATCACATAATTCATCTGATCTTTGATCATTAGTGTTCAATGCATTAAATCTGTTCTGGAGATGAATTTTGGTGCCCCAAGGTTATATTTGGTTCTGGTGGACTTCTTTTACCTTTCTTCAGCTTCAGTATGAATTTGCACATTATGAGTAACTGATGGTCTGTTCCCCAGTCAGTATCTGGCCTGGTTTTGCTGCTGATATAACGAACTTCTCCAAGGATTCTTTCCACAGATATATTCAATCTGATTCCTGAGCAGTCCATCAAATGACATACATGTAGAAAGTTGCTCATTTGTGTTTTTTTAAAAAAAATTATTTGTGATAAACCATTGAATGTACACAATTCAATCATTGTATGTCCAACTTCATTTCTGTGTCCAAGACCATACTTTCGACTAGCATTCCTTCTGCTTTGTTTCCAACTTTTGCACTGTAGTCAAATAATTAATGCATCTTGATTGCAGGGAGCATTAGGATGATGTATGCCATGGAAGGCAGACAAACAAGGTTTAAACTCATCATGGCACCTTGTGATGCTTTTATACAGAAAAGGGAGCTGCTCAGATTTGGGGGCTGATTTTAAAACCTAGCAAGAATCTCTCTGATAATCAACTTTCCATCTGAGAAAAAATGAGCCACCATACACTTTCATAGGTCCCTGTGTGGTGCAGATGGTTTGTGACTGACTGGTAACTGAAAGGTTGGAGATTTGAGCCTAGCCGGCAGCAGAAAAAAAAAGCCTGCTTTTGTGAAGATCACCATCAAAGAAACCCTATAGAGCAGTTGTACTCTGTGATACATGGAATCCCAAATGAATCAGAACTGTCATGGGTGTAAGACAACAACTACACTCTCAGAGCCAATCAAGCGTGCAAGTTAATATATCACATTTATATCACATATTACTCAATGAGGCAAGTCAGGTTTTGTTCTCCTTTTCAGGAAGACACTTACCAACCAGGGTCTGGTCTGTTGCTTGGGGAAACTGACTTTCCTCATCCAGAAGTGCCAGCAGTCCCAGCGGTTTCTGGAGGAACATGTCCAAGAGAGGGCGATTGTCCTCATACTCCACAAGTGCAGCGTCAATACCCTCGTTCTGGTATTCCACCTGGAGGGAAAGCATCCATGAATCTCTCCAGCCTGTAAATGGCCTGGGAACCCTCAGGATGCTTTGGCACTGACTTCCTGGGTGTGACAACACTGGGCATATGTAGGAAACAGAGTGTTTTCTGTGTTTATTAAATCTTGAATGTAACTCTATCCTAGTTTTGGAAAGCAACTAAATCTGGAAGAGGAAGGAACGGTTATCTGCCTCGCAAGTCTGGACTTGAGTAATGCATAATTTAAAAACTAATGTAAGAAAGGAAAGCAAGTTGAAAAAAAATTGGTGAAGAATACAATTTAGGAAGTTATATGTGAGTAAACATGACTTAGGAAGAAAACACATACCTGTCATTGCTGAGGGGTTTTGTCAGGGTGCCAGACTGGAAAATGAAAAAGAACTCTAGATACCCTACCTACAGAGTCATGTGGAGAAACACTGATTGATAACTAGTTTGAGTTGTGTCCAGGACAAGTTGGGAATGGTGTGCCATACAGATTTATCCAACTCCAGTGATAAAAACCAATTCCAGTATTTTCATTCATGTCTTTTCATTTATCTAATGACAATTTCATGGGAGAAAGATAGGTAATCCTCTCCCAAGTAATTTACAGCCTCCTAGAAGGTCTATGAATTGGTCCCCACTTAATGGCAATGTAAAAAAAAATCACAATATCATCTCAATATCTTCACTCCTATATTGACAATTACCCCAGCATTAAGAGACTTGGCAAGAGAGAAAGTCTTGAGGTTTGGGTAGAGGCTGAGAAGCTAAAGACTCTTTTAGGTGGGAAGGTTCCCCAATCTTTGGTTCCACTAACCTTCACAGTCTGTTTCATATACCGTGAAACTTGAGTATTTCTACAAAAGAAAGGACATACCACAGCTTCTCTACCCATTTGTTTGTTGATGGCATTTAGGTTATTTCCAACTTTTTGCTATTGTAAACAAAGCCGTGATAAACATGGGTATGCATATATCTACTTGGATGTCATTTATGGTCTCTTTAGGGTATATTCCCAGTAGTGGAATTTCTGGGTCAAATGGTATCTCTATTTGCAACTTTTTGAG